TCGTTTCTTCATCGCTGCAGGTATTAGGGATGCATTTGCTTTCCGCTTAGACCTACTCTTCGAAGCCCCACCCGTTTCTACATCGTCACCCCCTCCATCGTCCTGCTCATCCTCATTCTGCATTCGTTCACTATGTTCCATGTCATTGTGTGGCCCACCACTCGACGCACCCATTTCACTTTGTTCCCTGTCATTGTGTTCCTCATCCGAACAGTCGTCATCACATCGCCCACTGCCACGAGGACGTTGTTCGAGTTCCATGTTCCCTTCGCTGTCTCCTCCGGCGCCCCCGTGTCGTGAGTCCTCCAAGGACCCCACGTCCCGTCCGCGGAACCCAACATCCTCCTCTGTTTCCGTTTTCTTCTCAGACCGTTGCCAGCAGTCGCAGCAGGTCCTTGCAGTTGCGGTGGAGTTGTGGCGAGTTGTTTCCTCTTCGCAGCCTTATCCGATGAACCTGCCCCCGACCGCCTGGAGTACGTAATTACCTTCTGAGTAACGTCTGAATGTTGCTGAGAAGTTGAAGGCTCTTGGCGTGCTTCACCACAAGACTTCAAAATGCCTGTGACGCCCTGGACCGGAGTGTCGTACGGGACAAGCGGTCCTGTGAATCGGCGTCTACCTTCGGGTACTGACCACTTTTTTTATAGCTGTTTGTTTTGTTAAGGAAATCCACCGGATGAACCATCCAAACCTCAGTTCCACCCCCCTTCGCTTCGAAAGGTTTCATACCGATTGCCCTCTGACCGTACCCTTTGAACAGGGTTAGGTCGAGGCTGACTTTCTTGTCGGCGTCGACCCAGTCGGTGCCCTGTTCATCGTAAACGGAAGTGAGATGGAATTTGCTCAATTCTCTGTCGTCAACCTTGCCCTTCTCCGTCATCGCCTTATCGCCCTCAGACTTCATGATGCCACCACAACAGTACCAATTCAGACCTCCGTCTTCCGTCAAGAAAACTATAGCACCACATCCGGCCTCATGGGTGCCACCTACCCAGTCTAGAGCCCAAAGCTTATCACGGTAGAGTTTGGACCTGTTGTTTATCCTTTTCTCCCCATCTCCTGAATTCCTCGGTTTCCTTCCTGAACGAGCAAAACATACGCAAAGACCGACCGAACAAACAGACAAATGTCATCGCCATATCACCAACTGGATCCCCTAACAGCAGACCCTCTCAAGCGATCGTTCCAGGGAGGGTCTACATCGGTGCACGAAGTTGAGTGGGGGTCCAGCGTTTGTGAAACGCTGGACCCTCCACCCTATCTGTGCCGAAGGGGGACAGTGTCCGGCTTTTCACAAACGCAGACCCCTTGGGGCCACGAAGAGCAGCGGGGTTCCAGCGTTTGTGGAACGCTGGACCCACTCCCCTACCTGCGGCGAAGGAGGAGAGGGTCCGGCGTTTCGCAAACGCTGGACCCCACGAGGGCGCGAAGCGAAGCGGGTTATACAGCCTCTGCACACGAACTCCCCTGGGCTAGCGCATCGTACTATCACAGATACTGCCTGCGCACCACCCACGAGAACAGTCCTTTAAGAAGGGGCAGGGTATCATCACCACATCACCAACTGTAGCCCCTAACAACAGTCCCTCGCATGTGACCGTTCCAGGGAGGGCATGCCTTGGTGCAAAAAGTTTAGTGGGGGTCCAGCCGAAGGGGGAGAGGGTCCAGTGTTTCGCAAACGCCGGACCCCCCTGCTGGCAGAGAGAGGTGCGGGGGTCCAGAGACCCTCTCCCCCTTCGATGCCGAAGGGGAGAGGGTCCAGCGTCTCGCAAACGCCGGACCCCCCCTGCTGGCAGAGAGAGGTGCGGGGGGTCCAGCGTTTGTGAAACGCCGGATCCTCTCCCCCTGATGGCATCGAAGGGGGAGAGGGTCCAGCGTTTCGCAAACGCCGGACCCCTCTGCTTGCAGAGAGAGGTGCGGGGTTCCAGCGTTTGTGAAACGCCGGACCCTCTCCCCCTGCTGGCATCGAAGGGGGAGAGGGTCCAGCGTTTGCGAAACGTCGGACCCCCGTGCTGGCAGAGAGAGGTATGGGGGTCCAGCGTTTGTGAAATACCGGACCCTTTCCCCCTTCGGCATCGAAGGGGGAGGGGGTCCAGCGTTTCGCAAATGCCGGACCCCCCTGCTGGCAGAGAGAGGTGTTGGAGTCCAGCGTTTGTGAAACGTAGGACCCTCTCCCCCTTCGATGCCGAAGGGGAAGAGGGTCCAGCGTTTCGCAAACGCCAGACCCCCCTGCTGGCAGAGAGAGGTGCGGGGGTCCAGCGTTTGTGAAACGTCGGACCCTCTCCCCCTTCGATGCCGAAGGGGGAGAGGGTCCAGCGTTCCGCAAACGCCGGACCCCTCCTGCTGGCAGAGAGAGGTGCAGGGGGTCCAGCGTTTGTGAAACGCCGGACCCTCTCCCCCTACTGGCATCGAAGGGGGAGAGGGTCCAGCGTTTCACAAACGTTGGACCCCCCTGCTGGGAGAGAGAGGTGTGGGGGTCCAACGTTTGTGAAACGCCGGACCCTCTCCCCCCTTCGGCATTGAAGGGGGAGAGGGTCCAGCGTTTCACAAAAACCCGGACCCCCCCTGCTGGCAGAGAGAGGTGTGGGGGTCCGGATCTCTCTCTCTCTCTCTCTCTCTCTCTCTCTCTCTCTCTCTCTCTCTCTCTC